TTGGGAGGATTTGTGGTGTGATGGCCACTGTTTGAGAGTTGAATTTCCTAGACTGTTCAGCTTGTCAAAAGAAAAGAAAGGTGCTCTTAGACTTTTTGTTGATCTAAAGGCATCCCCAGGGGAGTGGAACTTATTATTCAGAAGAGAGTTGTTTGAATAGGAAAGAGTTGATTTGCTGAGACTGGTCTCTATTATCTCTCCTGGTCCCTTAATTAGGTTGGAGAGAGTTGATTATCCTAAGTGGTCAGCCACATCATCAGGTTTCTTTTCAGTAGCTTCTCTGTATAAGCATTGTTCCAGTGGAGTTGGAAATCAACTGGGAGCTCCTAGAATGTTGTGGAATAAGGTTTTACCCCCTAAAGTCCAGTTTTTTGGCTGGCTCGCTTGGAAGCATAAGATTAAGACCTCTGTGTTCCTTCAGAAAATAGAGGTCCTCCCTGGTGGAACTTCTATCCTGTGTTGCTTTTGTAAGCATGATGAGGAGTCGGTGTTACATGTGCTCCTTCATTGCCATTTTGTGTGGATGGTATGGTCGTCCTTGCTTGATTGGTGGGGTCTGTCTTGGGCAATCCCTGGCACAGTTGATTGTTTGTTACAGTGGTGGGAGGGTGGTAAGTTTCAGAAGAGAGAGAAGGTGATTTGGAGATGTATCCCTCTTGTAACCCTTTGGTCTCTTTAGAAACAAAGAAATGACTGTGTATTCAATAACGCAGTAGCTGATGTAGAGATTCTCTCTGATCTAGTTAAGTATTGAGTGGCTCTTTGGCTAAGTACAGCTTCTAGGGAGTGGCAGTATCCTATTCATGATTTTGTCTTCAATCTCCCTCAGATTAGAAGGTGTATCAGTAGAGGTTAATCTGTTCTGTTGTGATGTGTTGGTCTGCTGTGATGAGTTGTGTTGCTGTGTTGTGTTGAGGATATCAGTAGAGGTTATCAGTGGAGGTCACTCTGCTGTGATGTGTTGGTCTGCTGTGTTGTGTTGGTCTGTTGTTGCAGGGTTGTTTCTGTATTGCCTTGTTTAATCCTATAGGTTGGCTTAGTCTGCTGGGTTGGCCGGTGAAGCTGTTGGGTTGGTCTGCTGAGATCTGTTCTGCTAGTTCTGTGTATCTGTGTTGTTTGGGTCTGGATGGCCAATCTGTGGTGTTTGGGGCTGCTGTGATCTGTCCTGTTCAAGTAGAGTCTGAGTGTGTTTTGGGTCGGTGATCCTTTTGTTGGTTCAAGTTGAGTCTTTGGCCTGTGGCTATTTAGCTTCACAGGTTTTGTTTTTTTTGCTTTGGGTTCCCTCTTTTTGGGTGCCCTTGGTTGGCTCCTCACCAATCTCGGGTCGAGTGCTAGCATATGATTGCGCTTTCTTTGCGGTGCCAACCTAGTTGGGATCGTTAAGTTTAGCTATGATGCTCTCTGCACTCCCCTGCTTTGTTGATGTAATTTTGCATGTTCTATGCATCGTTAAGTTTAGCTATGATGCTCTCTGCACTCCCCTGCTTTGTTGATGTAATTCTGCATGTTCTATGCCTCTTTCATCAATAAAGTTTTTTTGCTGATCAAAAAAAAAAAAAAATGTAAGTGTTGCATTATCTGTCAAATGATATATAATGTCAGGGATAAATTATATTTTTTACCTTTTAAGTTTCACTTAAATTTTATTTTAGTTCCTTACCTTTTAATTGTAAGTTCATAAACTTTAACCCGAGTATCAATTTAATCTGTCTCCATACCAAAGTAGAATATGAGTAGAAGGAAAAATGCTTGGGAACACTAAAAGGGAATCACTAAAGGGAGCACTAATGATGTGGCAGTGGGCCCCGCCCATTTTCTATGCCTTGTTTTTATTATTTTATTATTGATGTATTTTTTAGTGGTCTAAATCATTGTTGGAGTAAAAGTTGGATAGTGAAAATGTAATTTTATTTATAATTTTGTCATTTAATACTCTTAAAACATGCTCATGTGGCTATCATGTGAGTAATTTTGGTCTTTTTTTTAACAATGAATGATGTGAGGGTTACATTGAAACAATGGCTAAAGTTTACAGATTTAATTGTTACAATTTGAATATGAGGGGCAAAAGTAAAATTTAAATGGAAGTTTAAAATTGAAGAGTGTATTTTACTTTAATATCAAATTGGGGGAAAGCCCATTTGCACCCCTAAAAGGGTGCATTTGGTTTGCAGCTCATTACAGCACAAAAATTTGTTACTTCTATTACAAAATGACACGAAAAGTATTAACATTGTTCACTAAAAAATAAAGGATAACTTTTACTATAAAGTGACATAATTTTGTCATTTATAATTTTAAGGTGCAAATTATAAATTTGTCATTTTTAAATTTTATTACAAAATAGCATAACGCCAATCATAAATTTTACTCAAAATAAATAAATAAATAAATAAAATACACAGAACTTTCTTACGATGTGCCTTTTATTTTATTTTATTTTATAAATTTGTTATTCTTAACTTTTATTAGAAAGTAGCATAATGTACACTACAAAAAATAATGGCTGCATTTGGTTTGATTCCACACTCAAATTTTTAAAACACTTTTTAAAATTTATAACCAAACACACAATTCAAAATTACTCAAAACTTAATTCAAAAATTAATTTCAAAACTCACAACTAAGCACACAACTCAAAATTCAATTCAAAATTATTTTCAAAACTCAAAACCATAACTCTATTTAAAATTTTTTTATTTTTTTTATTTTGTTTTTTAAAATTATATTTAGAATCATGATTTGAGTGTTGTCTTTTAAAATTTTTTGGATTAATTTTTTTTAATATTTAAAAATTTTCTTACTTTAATTTTTTTAGGATAAATAGTTTATATTTTAAATCTTTATTTATTTATTTTAATGTGTACTATATTTCATACATTTTTGTGCTATATTTTTTTAAATATTAAAAAATTGAAAAAAATTATTTTTTATTTAAAATATTTTTTATTTTTCATTTAAAATATTTTATTTTAATTTTTTTGTTATGTGTTTGGTTACGATTTGAGTGTAGAGTTTTGAAAGTAGTGTGTAGTTTCAAATTATATGTTTGGTTATGAGTTTTGAAAATAATTTTAAACTTGAGTTTGATTATGATTTGAGTGTGGAATTGTGTTTAGACTTCAAAATATTAAAATTAAAAATTAAAATATTTTCAAATTAAAATACAATATTTAAAATAAAAAGTTTAAATAAAAAAATAATTTTTTAAAACATTTTTTAATATTTAAAAAAAAATACAACTCAAAATTTAAAAGCTCAAAACTCAGAATACAATTCAAAACTCTTTTCAAAATTCAAAACTCTTTTCAAAATTCAAAAACTCTTTTCAAAATATTTTTCAAAATTCATAACTAAACAAATTTTCTTTTTTCAAAACTCAACTTACAATTTCACACTCAAATTATAACTTAAAAAAGACAATCACAATTCCAAAATAACTTTCACCATTAAAGTAAAAAAAAAAAAAAAAAAACTTTCTCTAGACGTGCTCATTTTTTCCGATAACGGTCTTGTTGGTTGATTGGTTGACCTGATAGAATTTACTATTTGACCAGATGTCCCCATGACAAGGGGTCCTGATTTTTTCAACAATGAAATTTAAATCAATATATAGGATTGTCTTACAACAAAGAAAAACGAACCCATCCATCTTCACAAGGGAGAAGCCTTCCTACTTTGTAAATGCCTATCACTTCATTATCAGTTTCTTTTCTGGTACTTCTCTATCTATACTTAAAACTCATGGCTTTAGCTGAAGACGAAAACATCTACAATGGCTTCCATGGGGTCAATCTTCATCTTGATGGGGTTGCACAAATCCATCGCAATGGTCTATTGCAACTAACCAACACTTCTGCTAGACAAACCGGCCATGCTTTTTCCCAACTTCCTATACGATTCAATGCATCCTCATCTGGGTTACCCCAAACCCTTTCGTTTTCCACCAATTTTGTATTTGCCATGGTTTATGAAATACAAAATTATAGTGGTCATGGATTTGCCTTTACCATCTCACAATCTACGAACTTCACTGAAGCTAATCCAGGCCAGTTTTTGGGACTCCTTAATTCTAACAACGGTGGCGATTGAGCTTGATACTGTTAACAACACTGAATTCAATGACATAAATGACAATCATGTTGGAATTGATGTTAACAACTTAAAATCTATTGTTTCGGCATCTGCTTCATATTATTCGAATAGTGAAGGGAAAAACAAGAGTTTGGAGCTCATAAGTGGGATCCAATGCTAGTTTGGATAGACTATGATGAAGTGGAGAATCTACTCAGCGTAACTCTAGCTCCTATCCGAAGCCAGAAATCAAGTCAACCTCTCTTGTCAACACACAACAATCTTTCTTCAAATCTCTTAAATTCTGTGTTGGTTACTCTTCTGCCACTGCAACAAATTACACTTTTGGTGACTAAATTTTTAGTTACCAAAAGTTATTTTTTAGTCACTAAAGATTTTTGCCGACTAAAATTCTTGGTCGCCCGTTTAGTCGTTGACTAATTGTCGGCAAAAGAATTGGCGACTAATTTTTTTTAGTCGTCGAAAGTCGCCAATTGGCGACTAAAAATTTAAGTTTAGGTTTGGCATCTCTTAAAAAAGCCAAAAAGCCAAAAAAACTCACTATCCTCCAAAAGAAAATATTTAGTCGCAAAAAAAAAAAAATATTTTTCATCTTCAGTTTTTTAGCTACCAATTTTTTAGTCGCTAAAAACGTGGCACTCCTGTTTAGCTACTAATTTTTTAGTCACCAAAAACTTTGATTTTTTTTTTGGGCTACTAACTGTTTAGTCGCCAATAAGTTCCCTTTTTATTTTTTGGCTACTAAATGTTTAGTCGCCAAAATCTCTATTTATTAATTTTTTTACAAATATACAAATTGAATATTTTTTATTAATTTCTAAATTATATGCATTCCATTATCAATGCAACCTGTAACCTATACATATCAGAATAATACATCTATCAATCATAATCTAAATCCATTATCAATCATACCCATTTCATTATCAACTATCCAAAAACAAATCCATACCAACCAAATATAATCCATCTAAATTAAATATTACATACAAAAACACTAGATTTCCAAAACAGAGGATTGTACATAAATAAATGTCTTCTATATATAGAACAAATGCTCTTCGTACACAAAAATAAATATCCACAATAACCCATGCGAAAGCAATCTGTAAAAATAAAAATAAAAAATAACCACTAACACTTATTCAATAAAATTGACATTTCAAATTATAACAATCAAGGTTAAAACAGCTACGTGCTTCAATGTAGTAATAGTGTAGCATGTAAGAATTTAATCAAGCAGCCTAATTAATACTGTTGCTTTCATTATATCAACAGGGGGTTTGATATATTTACACACAAACACATATAATAAAGCTTGACTTTCAAATGGGAGGTGCAAAGGTGACTCGTATTCGCCTTATTTCTTAAATATTGGGAAGAAACTTCAATTAAAACGTTTAAAAATAAGCTGCTTCAGTTATACTTTCCACTTGCTCAATTGAAACATCTAAAAACAAAACAAACAAACAAACAAACAAACAAACAAATGCTTCAGATTAGCTTTACAACTGAAATTTGGGTGACAAGTGAAAGCACGAGAAAACACCAACTTCAGAGAGAAAGAAAAGAAACCACCAAGGCAAGAGAGTAAAAGCAAGTGAATTATGAGGTGGAATTTTGCCAATTTTGAATGCATAAATTCTCCAATATGCTTAAAAACCAAATTTAAGATATAATTTGCCAACCAATATAAAATTCAAGGCACTAGTAAGAAGAATTCACCTCACATGCAAATTTCCATAGATAGCCAATAAATTTCAACTCTTTTGAACATATGTGTCATGATCCAAATCCGCCCCTATAGGTTTAGCGTCGTAACTGGCCAGTAGTACTTGGATTACCGAAGGTCTCTGAACAGAATAACATATACTTAGGGGCTACGGAAGCAGTTATAGAACATACATAGTACATTGAGCTGTGGAGACATATATGAGACAGAAAATTTAAGACTTTATATACACTTGTGATGTCATAAGTAACATAGTCATACGTCATTCACAGGTACAGATGAAACAAGAGTGGGACTTAGCCCAATATACAGATATACGGAACTCGTTCTGAAACAACCAAAAAGAAACAACCCTTAAACATAAGATACAAGCCATGACCACAAGACTTGACTTAATCCGAAACCTCCTTGGGAAGCACAAAGAGTGGCCAACAAAACGGAACTCCAGGCAATCATCATTGAGCCTGGTCACACGCCTAATCACCTCATACATAAATAACATAGTGAGCAGAAGCCCAGTGAGTAATAAAAGAGTAAAGAATCTAAGGAATGATGTCCCATATCAGATTTCAAATCAGAAACAAATTCAGATTCACATACTCATCTAGAGATCATAAACAGTTGCATGTGGTACATCTATTTAGCTATCTTATCATATCAAATTAGTCGGCGCCGACGACCGCAAGGGTCCACATCTTGTGCACAAGTAGCCATAGTATTGTTACCCCTAGGTGAGGGCCACGTGAATATAGGCCTTGGTATTGTTACCCCAGGGCAAGGGCCATGTACATATTGGCCATGGTATTGTTACCCCCAGGCGAAGGCCACGTGAATATTGGCCACGGTATTGTTACCCCCGGGCGAGGGCCACGTGAACTAAGGATGCCATAAATACATTTCAGAAAAATGGACATTCATTCATGATTCATAAAATAGCATTTCAAAGAACTAATCATTTCTTGCATATCATATCATATAAGGAAATACTTAAACGTGAACATAGTTTTACAAAGTTATTACTCACAGTTGGCTCCAATAGCAAATAGACAGTTTAGATAACTGGTGTCGCGTGGCCTACACAGATATAGAACGAAGACATACTGAATTACACACCCGGAATCATTAACTTAGTTCTTACTTATCTTGGTGTGTTTCTACTTGTTATCCTCATCACTATGTCTTAATCTTGGCCTAGGAATGTCTAGAATGCAATGAGGATGCTAAAATGCACTTGGAAACATTTAAAAAAATTTACTGAAAACAAGGGTCTTGCTTGAGCGCAACTTTCTTTGCTCGAGCGCAACTTTCTTTGCTCAAGCGGACATGCAAAATGTGAGTGGCCGCTCGAGCGCAACTTCTGTCACTCGAGCGGGTCTGTAAACACTGCAAAAGTACTGGTTGTTTGATTTTTCCGCTCGACACCCGCTGGAGCGTTAGACTCATGCCTTTGCTCGAGCATAACTTTTGTCGCTTGAGCGGTCTGCAAAACATGTAAACTTCTGGGAGCTTGCATTTCATGCTCAAGCGAATTTCTGGTCGCTCGAGCAGAAGTGCGAAACACAAAGCGGTCACTTGAGCACAGGTTCTGTTGCTTGAGCGGAGAGGCAAAATCTGAAATTTTTAAATTGCTGTACATGATGCAAACTTCGAAATCAAAGCCTCAAAACTCATTATTTGGACCCAAAAATTGAGAAAATACTTGTAAACATGTAAACCATTGAGAATTTAAGGCCACTCATGGAATCAAGGCTCAAAAGCTTTGCCAAATGCACAAAACAAAACTTAAAACTTTGAAATCTTAACATGCATACACCAACTTGACTTCAAAGCTTCCAAAACATAATCAAATGAGGTTAATTAATGGAAAGCATGATAACCTCTCAAAACTAAAGTAGGATTGAGGCATGCATGTGAGAATTCCTAGTAATTAAACTCAAAATGTAAAATAATGTGCATGCATGCATGGTATAACTTTAATCTCTTCCTTTCTAGTTCAATTCTTCCATTATTCAACTTAATTCTCTTGAATTCTCTACATTACCAACTTAAATACTAAGTTTAGGAACCAATTACTCATCTAAGGTCTTCAATTGTGAACTTCCAAGTCAATCTTTAAGCTTCCAAGCTAATCCCCTTAATTTTCTACCAAACTCTCTTGTTGATTTCAATGCTCTCTAAGCCTCTCTCTCTCTCTCTCTCTCTCTCTCTCTCTCTCTCTCTCTCTCTCTCTCTCTCACACGTTTTGCACACAAGAATGAGGGAATGAGAGTGTAAAAAATGAATTCAAGGCTCACTTAGGCCTTTTATAGGTTTGATTAGAAAACTCATTAGTGGCAAATAATTCATCATTATTTATTCTAATCATTCGATTCTGAATCAAATTTTAATTAAACCTACCATAATGTTCTCAAATTCCAAGTAATACATAATTCAAGTCAATTTCGTGATCGGATGCCGATAAGGCCTTCAATTCATAGAACAAAACATAAACACAAACAGACATTCCAACGTCAGACAGATATAAACACAAATAATGCAATGCACATGTAATTAACTCAATATTTCATCTTAATTAATCATTAGGCATATTTAATCATGGTTTAACATTTAATCATGAGTCGGGGTTGTTACAATATGGCAAACCAATATTGTAAAGGTATCAATAAAAATAAAAAATAAAAAAGCACCCCAAATTCCTTTTGATGTAGACTTAACATGAACAACATCCAGAGCTTCCTGAAGGGTGAAAAAAGACATAATGACATTTATATATAAATCAACCCCTATTTCTAAACTTGAAGGGGAAAGGGAAAAATAAGACTTTATATATAAATCAACCCCTATTTCCAATATGATGCGAAACTGTTCAACATCATCAACCCCAGAAATTGAATAGCAATTGCTTTGCCTCAGGTATTTATATTCATTTGCACTTTTCAAATTCAACTTCTCTGTGTTGCAAAGCAACAAATTGTAAAGAATAAGTTGCATCCTTCCCTTTCTTTAAGCTAATTATATTTTAAAACCAATCTCCAGAACCCATTACTGATTAAATTGTAGAATTTAACTTAATAGACCCCTGCAGAAAGTTCTACAAGAGTAGAAAATTCTATCCTTTGAAGTAGAGCAGCATCTTTGGACACACAACTTACTGGGTTATTAAAAGAAAAATGAAAAACTATTTTATACTAGAGTTGAAGTGCAAAAGCCACACACACCACACAAAAATGGGTCGAGAAGAAAAAAAGAAAGAAAGGTAGAAATAACCTCAACAGAGAATTCTAAGCAAGGAATCCATGCTAGGCAAATAAGGTAATCAACTTCTTTTCCCAATTGTACAAGAGAGAGTGAAGGAAGGTAAGACAGGGTCTCGAACTTCTTCAATCCAAGTGAGGCCACACCTACACTTACACTGCCAATAAGTTAGGCTTGTGGCTTAGAATTTTGATAAGCCTAAGAGAAATTTTATCAAACAGTTTGAAGGCAAGAAAAAAAAATTTAAAACTTTATTGATACATGTCAAGTAGAATTGACCCAGTTCATTCTGTTAGTTCAGGAGTCTTCAACTAGTGTTGAATTGGATCTAAAAGCACGTCAATCAAACAATCACCAAAACCAATTATCCAAATTCAGAGTTCATCATTACTACTCATTTTAGAGTTTGTCCACACTATCCACATATCAAACACATTCAATACACAACAAAAACACACAAAGAAAGTTAAAAATCGAAATGGGTACTCACTAGAATGGCCTTATGGGCAAAGATGTGAACAGGGTTAGACACAGGTTTACTGGAATCGTCATTGGAAGTGACTAAAATGATGTCATAGAAACAAGGAGTAAAGCGATGGTGGTAATGATCGAAGGGAGTCTAGAATTTGAGAAAAGAAGACTTTGGACTTGAGATATTCGATCTCGCATTTGAGCTCTTCCTCGGTCTTGCTGGGTTCCTCATAGCACTCCCTGCAAGTGCCGGGGTTGCGTGGCTCGTATTCGTTTCAGCAAGACAGAGAGATGAGAGAGGATGAGAGAGAAGAGGGAGAGTGTGAGATGTTTTATATAGTGTGAGATGTTTTATATAGATGGTTATTGGCGATTAAAATTCTTTAGTCATTGAAAGTATTTTATAAATCTCTCCAAAATATTTGAAATATCTCCCTCAAAAAATTTTAGTTCTTTGGCGACTAAAATTCTTTTTTGTTGTTGAAAATAAACTTTTGGCAACCAAAATTTTGGTCGCCAAAGGTAAAAAAATAATTTTTTATTTTCGATTCGGCGACTAAATGGTTTTAGTAGCCAAAACTCAATATATGATGACTAAAATTATTTTTTGTCGCTGAAAATAAACTATTGGCGACCAAAATAAGGTAAACAATAATTTTTTATTTTCTATTCGGCGACTAAATGGTTTTAGTAGCCAAAACTCATTATACGGCGACTAAAATTCTTTTTTTTCCGCTGAAAATAAACTTTTGGCAACCAAAATTTTGGTCGCCAAAGCTAAAAATGATTTTTTATTTTTTATTTGGCGACTAAATGGTTTTTGTAGCCAAAACTCAATATACGGTGACTAAATTTTTTTTTTGTCGCTAATTCTGGCATTTTTAGCGACTAAATTTTTTTTAGTCGCGAATATCCAATATACCCCCGACTACAAAAAATTAGTAGCTAAATATTTTACTTTTGCTGACTAAAAAAATTTTGGTCACCAATCCACAACTTTTGGCAACTAAATTTTTTTTTAGTCTCCAATTTGGTCGCCGAATGTGCATTTTGTTGTAGCGTGCTACTGGAATGTTTAGAGGTAACCACTATGTTCTTAGGTGGAGCTTTAACAAAAGTGGGCAAGCACAAAGCTTAGACATTTCGAAGCTTCCTTCACTTCCCTGAAAAAGAAAACCAAGACATATTCCAAGTCTAGAAATTATAGTTTCATTGATAATGGTATCCATTGTGTTGATTGTCATAATATTAGGAATTGTGTACAATGTGTCGAGCAAAAAATATGAAGAAATACTTGAAGATTGGGAGCAAGAATACGGCCCTCAAAGATTTTTCTACAATGATCTCCACAAAGCTACCAATGGTTTCAAAGACGAAGAGCCCTTGGAGGAGGAGGTTTTGGAAAGGTTTGTAAAGGAGTATTTACTTCCTCCAAGGAACAAGTCACAGTCAAGAAAGTCTCCCATGATTCAAAACAAGGGGTGAAGGAGTTTGTGGCCGAAATTGCTAGCATGGGAAAGTTAAGGCATAGAAATTTGGTGTAGCTCCTTGGCTATTGTTGATGAAAGTGAGAGCTTATCTTGGTCTATGATTACATACCTAATGGAAGCCTTGACAAGTTCAAATTTGGCAATGAAAAACCAACCATCAATTGGGCTCAGCGTTATCAAATCCTCAGAGGAGTAGCATATGCCTTTCAGTATTTGCATGAAGAATGGAAGCAAATTGTTCTTTACAGAGATGTGAAAGCTAGCAATGTTTTACTAGATGTTGATATAAATGGATGGTTAGAATATTTTGGGCTTGCTAGATTGTATGATCATGGGGCAAATCTAGAAACTAACCATGTGGTTGGCACCGTTGGCTATCTTGCACCAAAGCTTACTAGAACAGGAAAGGCAACTACAGTCATCGATGTGTTTACTTTTGGTGCATTGATGCTCGAATTGGCTTGTGGAAGGAGACCCATAGTGCTACAAGGATTGCCTGAAGGAAAAAAATTGGTTGATTAGGATTTTGAGAAGTGGAAACAAGGATCAATTCTTGAGACAAGTGATCCTAGATTGGGGGGTGATTATTTTAGTTTTGAAGCTAGGTATGCTTTGCTCACAGTATAATGAAGCGGCAAGGCCTAGCATGAGGCAAGTGATGCAATACCTGGATGGAAATACCTTGTGGCCAAATATTCCTCTTGATACTGTAGGTAATGGTACATTTAGTGTCGCTAATGAAGCATCTTATGAATTTGTAAGAGTGAACATTTTCGTTATTTAGGATCGACTATTACAATGACTAGGGAGATCGGTGTGGGTGTGGTTCACAGAATTAATGCGGGGTGGCTTAAGTGGAGGAGTGCATCTTAAATATTGTGCGAAAACAAGTACCCATTAGACTAAAAAGGAAGTTCTATAGAACGGCTATTAGACCAGCGACATTGTATGAGACTAAATGTTGGGCAACTAAGAAAAACATATAGATAAGATGAGTGTTGTTGAGATGAAGATGCTAATGTGGATGTGTGGCAAGACTAGAAAAGAAAGAGTTAAGAATGAGTATATTTGAGAATGGGTAGGAGTAGTACCGATAGAAGACAAGTTGAGAGAATAGATTGAGATGGTTTATTCATATACAATGGAGACCAATAGACACAGTAGTGAAGAGATGCGATATAGTGACGATAGATGGGTAGACCTAGATTGGCGTGGACTAGTGTAGTAAATAAATATATGAATCTCTTTAATTTGACTAACGAAATGGCCTTGAACACAGTCGAATGGAGAAGAAGGATTCATACAGCTGACCCCATTTGATGGGACTTAAGGCTTAGTTTGATTTGGTTTGGTTTATTTCCTTTATCGGTTTTGAAGTCTTCTACGCACTAGATGTCTAGCACCGAGTCCATACTCAATTTTGGTGGTTGAATTCAAAAATCTCCATGCCTTGGAAATGCTAGAACATGGATTGAATGTTTTTGACTAATAAGAATCAAATCTTATTATTCTGTAAAAGAGACATATGTTCTAGTCAATCAAGCTAGCTTGGTTATTAGTTATATTTGTCTAGTTTGTTGTTTAGTTAGTAAACAATGCTAACCTCAACACTAAACCAAGGCACAATTGTCCATCATGTTTTTGGCAAAACTAACAATAGTTGGGCTTCTTTGAAACTCATTGTCTGACTTGATTAATTGCACTTCATTGTTCAATTTATTTATTATTATTATTTTTTTCTCTATTTGAATTGTTCCAAATTCTTACAAATTCAATTTAATTATCAAGGTCATTTCAAAACTTGCAAAGTTGTTTGGAAACAAAAGCTATGCAAGTTTGTGAATTCTTTTAGGATGCAAATTTAATGGGGTTGATCTGAAACATTTAGATTACATGGTTGGATTAGCAAAACTATGAATATTTTTCATGTTTCAAGTTTTACGTATTGAAGAAAGACTCAAAAATTGAAAACTTGGAAGAGTAGTTGACCAAAAAAACAAGTTCAATGCTTTCAATTTTCTACTTTGGAGACGGTTGATTTTCGATGAACAACCCCTTCCCCTGTTACAGAAACTACTAAAGAAGATTGAAGAAAATATTGCAGTCACAGTTTAATTTCAGGATAAATTATCAATAGGTCCTAACAGTTAGATTTAATTCCTATCAAGTCCTATTGAAATTAAGTCCTAATAAAATCGCCGCTAAAAATTATTTTTTATGACAATTTTTTTATACATCGCTAAAAATTGACAATTAATGACTTTTTTTTTTTGTCATGACTTTTATAAATTGTCTCTAAAACTTACAATTTGTGACATTTTTTCATAACGAATTTTTCAAACTATCACTGAAAGTTAAAAGTTAGTGACTTTTTTTGTGAAGATTTTTTTAAACTGTCATGTCACTAAAACTTACAATTAGTAACATTTTTTGTGATGAAATTTTTAATCTGTCGTTAAAAATTAATAATTAGTGATTTTTTTAATAGTGTTTGATGAAAAACATCATTAATTCTCACAGGACTTGTTGGACAATAAGTCCACCTATTAGGACTTAAATGTAAGTCCTCCTTAATCTTACATGGGAGTCATATGCTAGAGTGGTATGATTTCATATTAGGAGGACTTACATGTAGGTTCTAAAAGATAAGACTTATAGTCCAATAGGTCCTATAATAATTAGTGGCATTTTTTATCAAACGCTATTGAAAAAATGTCACTAATTGTTAATTTTCAGGGATAGTTTGAAAATTGTCACAAAAAATGTCACTAATTATAAGTTTTAGTGACAGTTTAAAAAAATTGTCACAAAAAAATGTCACTAGTTTTCAACTTTCAATGGCAGTTTGAAAAATTCGTCACAAAAAAGTCACTAATTATAAATTTTAGAAACAATTTATAAAAATCCTGACAAAAAAGTTACTAATGGCCTATTTTTAGCAACATATACAAAAAATTGTCACAAGAAATTATTTTTAGCAACGATTTTATTAGGACTTATTTTTAATAGAACTTGATGAAAATTAAGTCCAATTATTAAGACCTATTGATAGTTTATCTTTCATGGTATTAATTTTTAATAAAAAAAATTGAAGTATAATATGTTTATTAATTTAAACCGCAATAAGCACTTGAAGTCAATCATTTTTGAGTGTTGATGCTAATTTTTTTTTTATTATTTTGATTTATCGCAAATCCCTGTTGTAAAATATGTATTTTGATTTTTTATGATTACTACCGTGGTTTTACATGGTGGTATCGCAATTGGTACCAGTTGTGGCATATGTATCGGATTAGTTGTGACGTAAAAATAATAAGTGTATTAAATGATATGTATCAGGAATCAAGTATTGTAATAATAAATTTTTTAAATAATTAATTACCAAAAAAAATAATAATTTAGTAACCGAACCGGTCATATCAACTCTTGAACAAGGCTGGCTCAACCCTCAATGAGGCCTAAAGCACAAACTCAATAGGAGGCTTTTTTAATTTTAACTAATATTAGCCGAGTTTTTTTGGGGTTAGAAATGGTTTTGGAAAAATTTGGAAAAATAGATTTTTTTTTTTTAAATTTTGGTCTAATTTTTAGGTAGGACCCGTGTACCAAATTTGACAGGTCTAAGTGGTAACGCGTTCTATGCCACATTGTGATTCACGTGATATATTTGGTTGCGCAAAACCATTATCGAGTGAATGTGAAATTGAGGCCAAAATGAGCTTTATGGAAATAGAGTTTTTGGTGGAAATTCCTAAAAGTTTGGTTTAAGGCTTGTCCCACATTGATTTGGTAGGAAACTTTAGAGGTGTTTGGGAACAA